GCGATCCTTCCGCCTCAGCCTTCCAAGTACCTGGAACTACAGGCGCACGCTACCACACCCTACTAATTTTTTGATTTATTGTAGAGATGAGGTCTCGCCCAGCTGCCCAGGCGGGTCTTGAACCCGCAGGCTCAGGCAGTCCACTTACCTCAGTCTCCCAACGTGCGGGATTACAGGCTGAGCCACCGAGCCCGGCTTCATTTGGCTGGAGTACAGTGGCACGATCATAGCTCACTGTAGCCTCAGCCTCCTGGGCTAAAGCAATCCTCCTGCCTCAGCCTCCTGAGTAGCTGGGATTACCCCAAGGACTTGGAGAAGCAGTCACTTCAGCAGCACTTGTCCCTGGTCTACCTCACCTTTATCCTCTTTAGGCAAGGGACATGGACCTGTCACTCAGGTCCTGTTTGAGTATCTCGGACTCTTCAGTAAACAATGTGCAAGGAATGTAGAGGATGAAGAGGGAAGGCCTGCCCGTATCTTATGCGGATGTTACACAGAACACAAAGGAAGAGTTCCACAGGGCAGGGGAGGGGAAGGGTACAGAGATTCTGTGCCCTCCCTGGGCGCCATCATTCAGGATACACAATGTGTTCAGCTATCCAGAAGCTCCAAGGAGGTGAATTTTAAATTTTATTTCATGTCAATTAATTGATTTTTTTAAACTAAGAGATGGGCTCTCGCTATGTTGCGCAGGCTGGTCTAGAACTCCTGGTCTCCATCAATTTTCCTGTCTTGGCTTTCTGAATAGCTGGTATTACAGGCATTAGCCACTGTGCCAGCTCTTCAATTCCCACTAAATAGCCATTTGTGTCAGTGGCTACAGCATGGCACAGGGAGATCTAGAAAGCACCTAACTCCTGGGGGTCATGGGGAGGGGAGCTGTGATCCTGGCAGAGGCTCTGAGATGCCGGGCATATGTGGGTCATTGAGTGGAAAAAAGAAACAGCCTCAAAGCTAGAAGAGAAACACGATAGATGCTCACAGGTGGTGTACCAGAGCCAGGCCTCAGGCCACATATTACATGCACCATCCTATCCCCTGTGTTAGTGTGGACAAGATAGTCAAACTGCCCCAGAACCTTCAAGTGAGACTTGGGTATGAGGTCAGGCTTGGCCCCACGATAGAGCTCTGGGTCAGTGAGTGGTTGCCCTGAGACTTCCAGAAGGAGCTGTGAGGGGTGGGCATGCTTTGGTTGCTCCTCCCCCTTCCTGCAGTCATAGTGTCACCCCTGCACAAGACCTGAGGGGTGGGGCTTCGCGCCAGGCCTGTCCCCACTGCAGGGCTTGGTTCTCCTGCTTGCTTGAAGGCTTCCTGGGCCTGGGGCAAGCCTATAAGAGCCATGAGGCTTTCAGGGCAGCAGGTGCCAAAATGGGTCTCGGAGCTCCAGGTCAGCCTGAACCAAGCAGGAGAGAATTTTCTTCACATAACACAGGAGACACTGCTGGAGTCTGGTGGGTGCTGCGGGGAGGCCACCCAGGAGGCCAGCATCTGCTGGCCAGTCACAGCTAAGTCCTGAAGCAGGTAGGCCCTGGTTACTGGAGAAGCGTTCGAGTGTGGGTCTGGTAAAGGATCTTCCTGCCACCTGGTCTCTTCCTGAGAATAGTGTCTCTGCTCATGCTAGAGATGCCAGCTACCACCTCATGGGACAGACAGCCTGAGCCATCCTGTTTCTAACTACGTTCTCTCAGATCTCATGTGCCTTCAGAACTTGAAACGCCATCCTGAGCTGGGAACAGTGGCTCACACCTGTAATTCAAGCACCTTGGGAAGTCGAGGTAGGTGGGCCACTTGAGCCCCCGAGTTTGAGGCCAGCATAGACAACATAGGGAGACCTCATCTCTACAAAAAATAATAAAATTAGCCAGGCGTGGCGGCACCTGTAATCCCAGCTACTAGGAGGCTGAGGCAGAAGGATCTCCTGAACCCAGGAGGTCGAGGCTGCACTGGCTGTGATCACACTATTGCACTATAGCCTGGGTGACAGAGTAAGAGTACAACTCAAAAATGACAGGCTCAGTGGCTTAGCCTGTAATCCCAGCACTCTGGGAGGCTGAGGCAAGTGGATTGCCTGAGCCCAGAGGTTCGAGACCAGCCCGGGCAATTTGGCAAGACCTCGTCTCTACAATAAATCAAAAATTAGCCAGGTGTGGTAGTGTGCACCTGTAGTTCCGGCTACTTGGAAGGCTGAGGCGGAAGGCTTACCAGAACCCAGTAGGTCGACATTGGGGTGGCTGTGAGTGTGCTGCTGTGCTCTAGCCTGGGCGATGGAGTGAGACTCCAACTCAAAAAAAAAAAAAAAACCCAAACAAAAAATCAAAAGCCAAAACACCATCCCCTGCCAGGAGCCCTTCCTACACTCCACTCTAGTACCAATCCCGCCGCCTCCCTGATGCCCCCTCTCCCTCGGCATGGCCCAAACTAAGCTGTTGACTGTACTGGCCCTCCCTTGCCTCAGCTGATGGCAGCAGCTGGGTTCCTACATGAGGCAGGCCCACTCCCTCAGGTCCCCACCAGTGCCTTCATCTTACATCCACAGTCACAAGGGGGATGTGGTCAGTTCCGGCTGACCTACCCAGAATCTGTGCTCTATTCCCCTATGTCCTCAGCGCCAGCAGGGTCAGGTCCAATCATGAGCAGGCCGTTTCCCCTGTCCTGGTCCCTAGCTCCCACCTTCTACCCCAGTTGGTTCCCCCCAGAGTCACCAGAAAGCACCTGTGAGCACGAGCAGGATCCCTCCCCTCCTGTGTTCAGAACTCCCCATGACTCCACCACTCGGAGACCCTCCGTCTCTGGCTCTGCACAGAGAGGTTTCTCTGAGTCTCATCAGAGGCACCCCTGACATTCCCCGTTTCTCACCAACCTGTTCTAGACTGTGAGACCCCTGGCGGGACCGCTGACAGAAAAGGCTCAGATATGGTTGCCAAGTGTCTGTGGGAGGCTGCTGGCCTCCACCTGTGCCTCCTCTGGAGTCTGCGGGCCTCACCTCTGCTCCGTGTTGAAGATGGCGAAGACGTGCTTGTTGGACATGAAACCCTTCTCCACGTCACGGATCTTGAGGTTGTCCAGAGGCAGCATGTACTTTTTCTCCTTCTCCTGAGGGGAGGAGGGACAGGAGTCACCCTTGGCTGTCCCTGTGACAACTCAGGATGCCCAGGCCAGTGTGTGCAGCAATGCCACCTGGTGTGTCCCGTGCTGGTCACTGCCACTGCCTCCCCCTCAATCTTTGCCCTGAGCTTCCCAGGAGGACTCCTAGCCCAGGGCCTTTGCATGTCTGGGCCTCAGCCTGAAAGGCTGCTCCCTGACACCCATATGGCCCTATCCTGGCTTCCTTCAGATCTCTGTGCAGAGGGGCCCTCCTGCCATAACCTCACATTGAACTAGCTCCTTCTCCCTCCTCTTCTCCCCAGGGGTTTCCCCCCTAACATGACATACTACATATCTTGTGCTTATTGGCCCAGGTGACCTATCACTGGACTCTGGCTGTTTTGTCCACTTGACCACATACTGGATGCTGAGCTCCACCAGCTCAGACTATGTAGGATACAACCACTCCTCCCTTCCAGGTGGAGGGAAGAGAACCATTACCTGGGCTAAATTGCCACAATAAGGCTGGGAGTTAGTTATCATGGTGATCTCATTTTACAGAGAGGGAGACTGAGGCACAAAGATGGACAGGCAGACAAGGGATAGGGCTGGGACTTGTTTGTTTGAGTCAGTCTCACTGTTGCCCAGACTGAAGTGCAGTGGCATGCTCACAGTCACTGCAGCCTAGACCTGCTGGGCTCAGGTGATCCTTCCGCTTCGGCCTTCCAAGTAGCTGGAACTACAGGCATGTGCCCCCACACCCAGCTAATTTTTTTATTTATTGTAGAGATGAGGTCTTGCCAAGTCGCCCAGGCTGATCTCAAACCCTGAGCTCCAGCATTCCTTTCGCCTCCGACTCCCAAAGTGCTGAGATTATAGGCTTGAGATTTAAACTCTGGCTGCTGGACAACCCTGGAGTTGGAAAGCAGACACCTAGGCTCAGTGCTCCAGAAGCATCACTTGCTTTCTGAGGGTGGTCCCGTTCAGGACGTGGTGACCACCTACTGGGCACAGTCGTCCCAACAGCTGAAAAGGAGGCAGCTCAGAAAAAGTGTGTCCCTTGGTCAGGGGAAGGGGTTACAGTGCACCCCAGAGCCCCACACGTCCCCCGATGCTGGCTAAGCAGCTGCTGGGCACCCAGCATGAGGCTGGACACATTCAGGGGCATCATGGCCAGCCCCTGTGTGGTCGGGGAGACACCAGGGTTTCTAAATCAGGAAACCAGGTGCAGAGTCGGGGTTCCCACACCCAGGTGACCCACAGCAGCTCTCAGGGACCAATGCCATGTGCTGCACAGCTTCAGCTCACGGAAGCCCCTCCAATCTGCTTAGGGGCACTGCGCTGAGAGAGGGACACCAGCTGCCCAGGGCCATACAACAGCAGCGTGAGCCACAGTGGGACTTCAAAAGCTCATCATCCCTGCACACCTAGCCCTTCACCATGTGGGCATTTCTGTAGACATCTCTCGTGTCCCAACACTGTGCTGCCACAGGACCCAGGATGAAGACTAACATGGCAGCCACCTCCAAATTCCTGTGCAGCCATAGTGAAAGGGGAGCAGGGGCCAGCCGGGAAACAGGCTCAGCCCTGTGGTGCTGTAACAGACCCTTCCTGGTTATGCACCTCAGGCAAACTACCTGCCAACTCTGAGCCTCGGTTTCCTCATCTGTCAAAGAAGGCCAGAGGAGCCAGCGTCCACTGCAGAGCTGATGCTCTGAGGCACTGGGGGCTCCTGCCAGTGGCCCCAGTATCAGGGTCTGTGTGGCCATGGAGGGAGGGATGCCTTTGCTACATTCAGGCTGCACCAGTTGTCTGGGGCCAGGCTGGGAATGCAGGGCCCCTCTGACCCCTATGAGCAGAGTACTAGGACTGGTGACTGGAAGGCTGCGGAAGGGCCTTTACTACCCCTAAGCCTATCATATCGTGAGGGCGGAAGCTTGCAGTCAGCCAGGCCAAATGACTGAGTCACAGCCCGTTCTGACTTCCAGTGAGGCGCCACATCTGGAACTGTTTATAGTGTGATTCCGCCCAGAACGCGCCAGCAGCGGCCTTCCTGGGGCTGCTGGCACACACGCGCGCACACACACATGCAC